ATCTGTTTTTCTTTTTGAATTTGCAGACATTTCAAAAATCGACTCAAGGAGCGCGTGAACTAGAAAAAAGAAACATGTCCATAAATGGCAATAACTATACATAGGAAAGAGAGTCGAAGATGGGAACCATGAGTTTCTTTACGAAAAAGCGGGAAAGAAGTTGAAGGGAGTGAGGGAGCGGAAAGGATGGAGGCTATTCTTCTCCTTGCTTCACTTTTTCTGGTTTTTGCTTTTCCCAGTTCTCCCCCCTCCCCTCCCCTCCCCTCCCTCCTCTCCCCTCCCTCCCCTCCCCCCACTCCACTAGACTAAAATAGTTTACAGGACTAGAGTAGCAAAAAGAAAAGTAAACTGATTACCAATCAAATAACATACAAGATTACTCTGATTACAACAGTTGATACATGTCAGTCTGACTCCGCATTTCAACTGTTGCCGACAGTCCTCAGGGGATTCTTGCAGTAACCCGTGTTCTGCAGCAGTCTGGGCCCTCGAAACAGAGCCCAGACAACGCAGGCCAAACTCAGCCTGTGCCAGGCAGTGTGACCACATGCTGCCTATGGGGAAAATCAACAGTCTAAATCAACTGTCAGGTCAATGGTACCGCGCCCAGGCCCTTGGTCGGATACTGTTGCATACTGTAACGGTGCAGAACCGACCTCTCTCACAAAGCGTAGCGGAAGACTTAGATACCAATGATCCGAACAATCAATATTGCAATGCAGACTCGAACATACATCATCATCATCACTCCATGGTGTGAACGGGCCTGGCGCTCACACAGGAAGAATGCGCCAGCCCCCAACCATACACAGACGAAGAAGAGGGGGGTTGGACGAAGAAGAGGGGGAGATGGGAATGTCGTCAACACCAAGTCTTCGGCACAAGCCCAAATAGTCCCTTGTCACAATGTCTGAATCCCAATGTCGAGTCTGGATCCAATGTCGTCAAGTCTCAAGTCACAACTCTCTCTCTCTGTCGTAGTCTGCTGATACTGAGAAGTCAGGTAGTGAGAGGGTGAAGAAGAGATGGTGGACTTAGAAGAGGAAGAAGAAGAACTCTTTCTCTCTCTCTCCCAGTCCGGTACTAACCTGTGAAGTTGGCGCCTTGATGCAGGTACCTTGAAGATGAAGCTGGAGCTATGGCGCCACAGGTAAGTCTCCCTGGCCTCCGCCAGCCATCTCTCTCTCTCACCTCCTCTACCTCTACTAGCGCCCAGCGCTGAAGACTACTGCTACCGCTAAGCTACTCCTGCAGCGCTCCTCCAGAGTGCTGCTGCCGAATCCTGAAGACTACTACTGCCTCGGCCTCTGACTGCCCGTGAAGTGCATGGGAACTCCCTATGTACTACTTGGCCTGCCTCCTGACTGCCTGCAGCTGCAGGGCGGGGCAGTCCAGGAGGCTGCTCTTGCCAATGCCGAGGTGAGCCAGGGCCTGCCGCTGCAGCTCCTGCTGAGGCTGGCGTGGGGAACAGGCCAAAAATAGCCTGTTCCGAAACCCTGGTTTGGTGCCTGAGTGTTAGGGCAGGTCGATCTTATGAGGGCCTGAAAGGCCCTGTTTTAGGCTGAAACGACATAGGGCCTGCAGGCCCTCGTTCTTCAGTCTTTCAGGCTGAAACGACACGGGGCCTGTAAGCCCTTGTTTCTAGGCTTTTAGGCTGAGACTGCGGGACAGGCCCTGCAGGCCCGTGTGGCTGCCCAGTATGTCACAGATACACTCACTTGTTGTGCGCAGGTACCCAGACAGCATCAAGGCCAGAAGGAATTCGGTTTCAGACCGATCTGGGCCGTCATCTGCATTGAGATCTGGACGGCTGAGGGATGCAGTATCCGGGGTCCAGACCCCGCGTCAACGCTACATAGGCGCCGACTTCCTGACTTTGACATTCATTCAGTCTTGCGTCAATGCTGACTTCATGCGTTGACTTCGACGCTAGTGCGACGCTGCGACACTGGCTGGACGCTGGCTCTACGCTGGCACTTGAGCGGATACGGCGACGCGCTGCTGGCTCGGCATGGTGGCTGGCTGGCAATTGTCTTCTGGGCATGCTGACGTGGCAGCTGCCACGCGCCACAGCCGCTGACGTGGCTGCTGCCACATGTACTCTTGCTGATGTGGCGGGCAGGCTACGTGTCTGATATTGCTGTTCTGAATCATCGTCACTCGGAAGGAGATCAAGACTGTGGGGTGATTGTAGATACATACCTGGTCTCTCGATGTCGACATTGCTCCGGCTCGCTGATGATGACAATTGACGTGCCACGTGGCACATTGAGATAGAACTTCAGTTTTGTGTTCAGACTATTGATTATTGAGGTGGCGAGTGAGGAGGGAGCCCGAAGCAGAAGCGGGCATTGTCTTCTTTCTCAAGTCTAAGTCTATTCTCCCCTCTAACTCTTTCGTCTGTGTATGTTTCCCCATCTCATTCTATCTGGACATGATTATGATTATTGACAATCATCAGCAGGTTGATATCTATCAGGGCGTGCATTGTTGACATGTGTCTTCACGATCTGGGTTCATTGCAGTTCTGTCTACAATCATCCAAAATTCCCTGTTCGGTTCTCATGCCCAATTCTGCCGCAGCCCTTCTCGTGCATCCAGGTGCCTGGAGACTGACTATAGGCATTAGACCTGAAAGGGTTAGTGCACTACTGTCTTCGCTGAATAGAACTTACAGTCGTTGTGTCTGGATTCGGCCCAACTTCCAGTCTAGATGCACTAAAACTGACAGTACGTGCTATTCGGGTGAAGATGGTAGTTGTGACTCCATACATACTTACAGCTTGTGGTCCTGTCCAATTCTCACCACAGACAGCATAGTGAAAAGTTCCACTCAAAACAACTTCCACTTGATCCACCCACATCCGGTCCAATGAGCTGGCACCTGAAAGGGGCTAGGAGGTAGTGTGTGGGTTAAGCATTTCATTACAAATGGAAAGGATGAGGCTGGGATATTCGGGGAAGACGGATATAATTGACCAGACTGGGGTACAAGCTCGGGAAAAAATCTTCCGCCCCGCAACCTATTTTATCATGGTTCAGCAATGGTGTGATCATCTCGATGTAGATCCGCATACGACAGCAGAGATTCCATGGAAGTCCCTATCTAGGACAAGTCCCCCGTTGCTTCAAATATTTGTAATTGCTAGTCTAGTACCTAGCTGTACCCTTGAACACATGGCTAGGAACTGGATGAGGATATCTTCCACTGTATTTTCCTTGCGTAGAAGCAAGCAGAACAGGATTTCGTTGAAAGAATCGTGTGCAACTTGCACAGAGGGATCAGTTGAGGATTACTTCCACTGTTTTCTTCCTTTCGCAGAAGAATCCCTCAATTGTGCAAAATGGGCTAGAAGAACTCTGGAAACCCCTAACCAAAGACACTGGCCCCGAGAGATCCAGCTGCGAGGCTCTGGGGCCGCAGCGAGGGAAAACGAGGCCATGACCTGGCCACATACAGGTAGTTAGCCTGTACACTCCAAATCGGAGGCCCGACCAGGCCAACTACC